GTGCTGTGGGGAGGCCCGGGCCATGGCAGGCGCTGCTGGGTCGGAACCAGCTGGGAGGGCTGTGCCTTGGCCACACGCTGACCTGGCCCCTCTGACCCGTCCCCACAGGAGCAGCTCCTGGCGGAGATGGAGCGAATGCAGATGGAGATTGACCAGCTGCGGGGGCGGCCTCCGTCCTCCTACTCCAGGTGACACCAGCGCTCTGCCCCCCTCTACCCCTGGACCCCCTTGGCCAGGCTCATCCTTTCTGATCCCTCGGCCTCCCCCACACCCTCTGCACCTGCTGCCTGTCTTCCGGAGACTTCCACGGATCTCTTTTAGTTTTGACCCCTGACTTCATGACCACTGACTACCAGATCCTTTTCCCTGACCTTTGACCTCAGATCCCTCTCTTAATTTCCTGACTGAAGGCCCTTTCCTACCTCAGCCTGACTTCATGACCACTGACTACCAGATCCTTTCCCCTGACCTTTGACCTCAGATCCCTCTCTTAATCTCCTGACCGAAGGCCCTTTCCTACCTCAGCTTTCTTTCTTTCTTCCTTCCTTCCTTCCTTCCTTCCTTCCTTCCTTCCTTCCTTTCTTTCTTTCTTTTTTTCTCTTTTTAAATATATTTTACTGATTTTTTACAGAGAGGAAGGGAGAGGGATAGAGAGTTAGAAACATCAATGAGAGAGTAACATTGATCAGCTGCCTCCTGCACACCCGCTACTGGGGATGTGCCCGCAACCCGGGCATGTGCCCTTGACCGGAATCGAACCTGGGACCCTTCAGTCCACAGGCCCACGCTCTATCCACTGAGCCAAACCGGTTAGGGGTCTTTCTTTTTTAAAAAAAATTTAAATAGATTTTTAGAGAGAGGGGAAGGGAGCGGGAGAGAGAAACATCAGTGTGATGTGATAGCATCATTGGACGGCCTCCTGCATGCCCCCAATGGGGGATCGAGCCCACAACCCAGGCATGTGCCCTGACCAGGAATCAGGCCTGTGACCTTGCAGTACACAGGACAGCACTCGGCCAATGGAGCCACACTGACCAGGGCTCAGCTTTCCTTGATCCCTTAGTCTCTGCCTTCTTCTTTATTAATATTTTTTAAAATATATATTTTTATTGCTTTTTAAAGAAAGAGGGCGCGCTCGAGAGAGAAACATCGATCGGCTGCCTCCTGCATACCCCCCTCCACCGGGGATGGAACCTGAAACCTGGGCATGTGCCCCGACCGGAATGGAACCGATGACCTCTCCGGGCACGGGACAACACTGGACCAGCTGAGCCACACCAGCCAGGGCTCTGACGGTCTTCTCCATGCCCACAGGTCTCTCCCTGGCAGTGCCCTGGAGCTCCGTTACTCCCAGGCCCCTACGTTACCTTCCGGTGCCCACCTGGACCCCTATGGGGCTGGCAGTGGCCGAGTGGGCAAGAGGAGCCGCTGGTCAGGGGTCAAGGATGAGCCCCCCAAGGTCAGCAGCCACTTCGGGGCCTGGGTTGAGCAGGGCCTGGGAGGGCAACAGTGGGAACGGGGGTCTATCAGCTGGGGCTCGGGGAGGGAGCTGGGTTGAGGAGTGGGGTCTCCCGGACCCATGCTGTCTTCTGTCCTTCTCCCACAACTCCCTCTTCCCCACGTGCCTGGGTGTCTCTTCGTGGAAATCCTCCTGCCTGGTGAGAGCCTTAGAGGAATGATGGGGTGGTGAGGGGGACAGATTCCGGGGGATGGTGGGCAGGGTGTAGCGTCCTAGAATGGGTGGGGTTAAGTGAAGAAAGTGAATTGGGCCAAAGAAAACAGTGACATCAGGGGAGGGGGCAGAGTCCTCAGAGGGTTGGGGTGGTCAAGGAAAGGAATCTGTCCAGAGACAAAGCAGAGCTGGGAAAAGTGTGAGGGCTCCATCACAGGGTGGGGGCAGCCAGTGTCGGCCGTGGGCGGGGGCCCGGAGGGCGGGCAAAGTCAGGAGAGTTGAAGAACAACCCAGGGCCAATCTCCTCCCCTGCCCGCCGGGGGCCCCTCTGTCTCTCCACACAGACACAGGAGTGGGAGCGGTCCGCCCCTGCGGGGTCCATGCCACCCCCGTTTCCTGGGGAACTGGATGGCTCAGATGAGGAGGAGGCGGAGGGGATGTTTGGGGCTGAGCTGCTCTCCCCCAGCGGGCAGGCCGATGTGCAGACACTGGCCATCATGCTTCAGGAGCAGCTGGAAGCGATCAACAAGGAGATCAAGTGAGCGCGGGCCCCGTCCTGCGGCACGGCCCTGCCTGGGCTCACCCCACAGCCCCTCTCGCTGTGGAGTCTGCCGTGAAGGCCAGAATCTATCTCCTCTCCCACTATCCTCAGTCCCCTCACTTCCCAGCCCGACACTCCCTCCGGTATCCAGGGATCCCCCAGGAGTCTCGTATATGAGATTTACGTATATATCCCTCAGCCAAGTACACACAATTTCCCAACACAGCAAAGACTAAACCTCCAAATACCAAAATTCTCAGTCCAGTACATCAACAATCCTCCAGGACCCCATGGATTTAATGGCTTCACACAAACAGTACCCCGAGAATCCTGGTCCCCCACGATTCTCAACACAAGCACCCCATCCCAAAACACCAAGAGCCTCACTCTAACACATCAAGAACTGCAATTCTCCATACCAAGAGTTTCTACCCAACAGATAATATATAACAAGAATTCTCAATTTATGAAGACTCACCCATTATATAAAGTACACCCCAATTCCCCAGCAACTACCTTATTTAGCAATCTCTATATATAAAAGCCTAAGTGACCATTACGACCAGATGACTGGCTGATAGCTATGATGCACACTGACCACCGGGGGCAGACACTCAATGCAGGAGTTGCCCCCTGGTGGTCAGTGTGCTCCCATAGACAACCTCCTGTGGTCCCAGAAGCCGGACTCATGGCTGGCAAGCGCAGTGGCAATGGCGGGAGCCTCTCCTCACTCCGTGGCAGCGCTAAGGAGCAGCAAGCTGAGCAGCGAGCAGGCGGGCCCCAGACTGTGAGAGGCATGTCCGACTGCCGGGGATATGCTAAGGCCACTCAGTCGCTCTCTATGAAGTGCGCTGATCACCAGGTGGCAGACAGTCGACCAGTCTCTATGATGTGCACTAACCACCGGGGAGCAAACACTCTGATCAGTAGGTTAGCTTCCTGCTGGGGTCCAGCCACGGGACTGAGTGAGACGGGACAGCCACATCCTGAAGCCCTTCCACAGTACCTCCACAACTGGCCAACCTTCTGTGTCTGTTAGGGTCCTTCAGCCTGGCCTGCACCCTCTTATAATCCGGACCTCTTGGGGGATGTTGGAGAGCCAGTTTCAGCCTGACGGCAGAACAACCAGTCACTATGACACACACGGACCACCAATGGGCAGACACTCAATGCAGGAGTTGCCCCCTGATGGTCCGTGTGCTCCCACAGCCAACCTCCCGTGGTCCCTCCCCCAGCTGGCCAACCTCCCACCATATGGCCCTGATCAGCCCAATTGCTGGCCAGGCCGAGGGACCCCACCCGTGCATGAATTCGTGTACCGGGCCTCTAGTTCTCTAATAATACACCCTCCATGGACCCAGCAAATATACCAACATGACTACTATCTTCCATTCAAACTTGTTCTGACTTGAGTGATCGACTCTCATATACAAAATGATTCTAAGACTTTCCTAGATCCTAGGTTGACCTCTGAGTCCCAGATCTCATCTGGATCTCATTATGAATTTGCTCTTGTTGTCCTCCTTGAACCTTGATCTCTTTCCCATAAAAAATCCCTTTATGATTTTCCAGAACCATTTGGTTATCATCAGGGTCATCCTGATGCAGACCCTGGTCATTGCCTCTACTTCCCTGACCTCCTGAGCCCATCATGACCCCTAACCCCCCTTGAATCTTGGTGGATTCACATCACGAATTCACCAAGACCCTCTAACCTCATTATGCCTTCTTCAGAATTATTATTATTTTTTTCAGAATTATTTTTGCCTTCCTAAGCTTTCTGGCTCATTGGGATCCTCAGACTCCCTCTGCCATCGTCTGCCTCAGTCCTCTCACCAGTCGCCCCCTTTCCCTCCTCAGGCTAATCCAAGAGGAGAAGGAGACAACAGAACAAAGGGCAGAAGAACTGGAGAGCCGGGTGTCCGGCTCTGCCCTGGACTCACTGGGCCGCTACCGCAGTAGCTGCTCACTGCCCCCCTCCCTCACCACCTCCACCCTTGCCAGCCCTTCCCCTCCCAGCTCCGGTCACTCAACACCCCGTCTGGCACCCCCTAGTCCTGCCCGTGAGGGCGCCGACAAAGCTGTAAGTGTTCTGAAGTCTCCTTAGCTTGGTGGGGTGGGTAGGAGGTCAGAAACAGGATTCCCCAACAGATGGCAACAATAATCTCTCACACCAGTGGCTTTCAAAAGCAACCTTATCTTCCCTAAAGATTCCAACTCAAAGGGCAGAGGGAGGACTGAGCCACTGGGCTCCTGAATCCTAACTTGTATTTTAGTTACACCTGGTCCACCTTGACCAGTTTTATACATTAAGTTTCTGCAAGTGATTTTTTAAAAATGCTTCTGTGACTGAACATACGTTTGAGAACTGCCATGATATCCTCATAATTGACCTTTGAGGGATGCATAACGGATATTAATCTTAGTTTATTGCCTGAAGCCCAAGCTTTTCTGCTTTCAGAACCTGTAACCTAGTGGCTTTCCTTGGGGCCACACAGATCCCACTTCTGACACCATAAGCTATGAAACTATCAATATGGGCTTTAGCTCCGGTGGGACTGTAATCTTTGGCTTTACGTTTCATCCCCCTTGGCCTAGGCTACCTTCAGAAATGGTTCCCCAAACCAGGGATGCCTCATACATCCCCCAGTAGATATTTTAGTTAATGAGGAACCCGCAATATGACTCCAACTTAATCCAGCCTCTCTACTTCTCTATCCCCAGAATCATGTCCCCAAGGATGAAGCTGGGGCTCCACGAGGGGAGGGGCCAGCCATCCCAGGAGACACCCCGCCTCCCACGCCCCGCTCTGCCCGCCTAGAGAGAATGACCCAGGCCTTGGCACTGCAGGCAGGATCCCTGGAAGATGGGGGGCCCTCACGGGGAAGGTCAGCAGGGACAAGAGATGGGACAGGGATGGGCTTGCTTGGGAGGATGACATGGGAGGGGACAAAGACTTGGGATGAAAGGACGCATCCCAGATGGGGTCTGCCCTCACCCTGTCCTGCTCCTCCAGTGAGGGCACCCAAGATTCCCTGCACAAAGCCCCCAAGAAGAAGAGCATCAAGTCATCCATAGGTCGTCTTTTTGGCAAGAAGGAGAAGGGGCGAATGGGACCACCAGGACGGGACAGCTCCTCTCTGGGTGAGTACCCCGATTCTACCCCTTCCTCCCTCCCTCTCTTCCTCCCTCCCTCCCTCCCTTCCTTCCTTCCTTCCTTCCATCCTCCCATCCTTGCTTTGTTTCTTCCTTCTTCTTTACATATTCACTTGACATTCATTCATGTCCTCACTGATTTGGTAATTCATTCACAATGTAGATAGGGGGGAGAAAGAGCCCTCTGTGGCCTGCTTGAGTGACTGGAGGGCTAAATCATATCGTTATGTCGTTTCCCATTTAGGGAGGCGCGTCCTGAAGGCAGAGCACCTAGTGTGCCGGAGCCTTCGTATCGGCTTGTGAGAGCCAGTAGCTAAATTTTCAGGCATTTTGTGAGTTGCCTGACATCACATTGGCAGCTTGAAAGTGGCACGGTGGGATTCTTCACACCATAGAAATGGGCAAAGGCGACAAATCAAGGAATAGCTCCTTCCTCCTCATGGAGCCAGCTACACACTTGCCAGCACACCACGGCCACCTGACAGGGCCAGGCCAATGGATGCCCTATTTTGGGGTTATCTCCAATTTATTGCCTGGGAGGTGACATTGGTCCCTGTCTGGCTTGATCACTCCCTCTGTGTGGCCTCATTGACTCTATTCCCTTGGGGCCTCTGCTCTCCTGGCTGCCTTCTCACCACCCCCAGCATGAAGTAGTCTGCTTCCCCCTGAGACTCTCCAAATTTTGGCCCCTCCCTGCCTCCAGCTGGAACGCCCTCAGATGAGACGTTGGCCTCTGACCCTCTGGGGCTAGCCAAACTGACAGGCCCAGGAGACAAGGACCGGAGAAACAAGAGGAAGTGAGTGTGTGTGTGGGGGGGGGCAGGGGGACTTACAAAGATCCGCATGCATTTTGTTGGAACCTCCTGCCAGGTTTCCTACGTTCCTAACCAGTGTTTTGAGAGGGGGTTGTGGTGAAGGGGGCCACCCAGGAGGGCTGGGGTCTCTGCCCCTGAGAGCTCCTGCCTGGCCCCCTCTTCCCAGGCATGAGCTTCTGGAAGAGGCCTGTCGGCAGGGCCTGCCCTTTGCTGCCTGGGATGGCCCCACCGTGGTCTCCTGGCTGGAGGTACCGGGGCCCAGAAATGCCTTGATTCCTGACCTTCAACCCCTGTGACAGCCCCTCCACTAGGGCTGGTTGGGTCCACCTAGCACCACCCTCCTGGCCCAGATGTGGGGGGGAGGGGGGATGAGGCCCTGGAAGGAGTCAGGCTTCCTGTGATCTCATTTGTTCTCCTTTTCCCCCCACCCCTGCCCCTCTGGGATGCTCACTTTGGTCCTGGTCTCCTGTTGCTTCTCTCTCTCTCTCTCTCTCTCTCTCTCTCTCTCTCGCTCTCTTTCGGATTCCCTGTCTATGTTTCTGCTTCTCTCCTCATCTCTGTTTCTGTCATGGCCCCTATCTCTCCCCGTGTCTCCCTCCCAATGTTTTTGCTCCTTTCCCTCCCCACGTCTGTCTCTCCTCTGTGTGTCTCTCCTGCTCTCTGTCTCTCTCCATCCCTCTCTTTCCCCTTTGACGCCGGCCTTGCCTTTCTCTGGCTCTCCTGGTCTCCCCGTGGCTCCCGCTGACACACGTCCCGTTGACTTGCCCTGTCTGTTTCTTCCCACTGGGACCTTGTGTCTTTCTGTTCTTCCCCCACTTGCCTCTCCCCGTCTCTCTGTCCCCGACTCTCTCCTTCTTTCTGTCTCACCCCCATCTCTCCGTCTCTCCTCTTGTGTGATATCGTCTGCCTCTCCTCTGCCTCTGCCTCTCTCTCCCCGTCCTCCGCTGGCCCAGCTGTGGGTAGGCATGCCTGCGTGGTATGTGGCCGCCTGCCGGGCCAATGTCAAGAGTGGGGCCATCATGGCCAACCTGTCCGACACGGAGATCCAGCGGGAGATCGGCATCAGCAACCCGCTGCACCGGCTCAAGCTGCGCCTCGCCATCCAGGAGATGGTCTCCCTCACCTCGCCCTCTGCGCCCGCCTCCTCCCGCACAGTGAGTGTCCACTGGCCAATCCCAGCCCTTGCTGCCTCAAGGCCCCGCCCCTTGCCTTCAGACTAGCCAATCCAGGCCTGCTTATTCCAGCTCCATCCTACACATTTATACTCCCCTTATACCACCTGGATTATGGGGGGAAAGGGGATCTTCCCTCAGGTCTCACTGCCTCCCCTGTACCCCTAAACTTCAGTCTGTCTTCAACCGCAGCCAGAGGGACCCATCCTGGAGAATAAGACAAACCCACATGGTTCCCGGCAAGACCCCTGATGAAAGGCCCCCCCTTCCCTCGCTCAGGTCCTTGGCACCCCCTTTTGCTTGGAGCACCCCCTCCCCGTTTCCCCCAAGGCTGGCTCCTTGTCATCCCTGAGGTCTCAGCTCAATGTCGCCACCTCCAAGAGGCCTCTCTCACTCAACAGCTAAACTAGTCGCCTGCTGCCCATCACCCCAGGACATTAAGACCTGATTTTCCCCCATAGCATGTACTGCCTTCTAATGCTTTATCCTTGCATTCCACACAGAAAGTCATGTGTGCCGTGCCTAATGCAGCACTCAGCCCTTGGCCACGCTTGCTGTTCACACGTGAATGTGTGTATCGGAAGCACTCGAATGTAATGTGTGGACATCATAACCAGCTAGCCCCCCAAATTACTTCAGCGGGCGTCCCCTAAAAATAAGAACTTTCCCCTACATAGCCACCGTGCCCTTGTCACACCTAAGAACACGACCGTTATTGTTAGTTTCATCCACTATTCAGTCTGTACTCAAACTTCCCCTTACACATCCCGGACTCTACAGCTGTGCCTGGCGCTCAGGAGTCATTACACACATTTTTTAAAAAATATATTTTATTGATTTTTTTACAGAGAGGAAGGGAGAGAGATAGAGAGCCAGAAACATCGACGAGAGAGAAACATCCATCAGCCGCCTCCCGCACATCTCCCACTGGGGATGTGCCCGCAACCCAGGCACATGCCCCCGACCGGAATCGAACCCGGGACCCCTCAGTCCGCAGGCCGACGCTCTATCCACTGAGCCAAACCGGCCTCGGCCATTACACACATTTTAAAAAAATATATCTTTATTGATTTCAGAGAGGAAGGGAGAGGGAGAGAGAGACAGAAACATCAATGATGAGAGAGAATCATTGATTGGCTGCCTCCTGCACATCCCCTACTGGGGACTGAGCCTGCAGCCTGGGCATATGCCCTATGCCCTTTGCTGGAATCAAACCTGGGACCCTTCAGTCCACAGGCCGATGCTCTATCCACTGAGCCAAACTGGCTAGGGCTACATACATTTTTCTTTAAAAAAAATCTTTTCTTGGTTTTTAGAGAGAGAAGGGGGAGGGAGAGAGAGAGAGAATGAGAGGGGGAGGGAAACGTCCATGGGAGACGGAGACATGATTGGTTGCCTCCTGCACGCCCCCTGCTGGGGATCAAGGCCACAACCCCCGCATGTGTCCTGACCAGGAATCCAACTGGCAACCTTTGGGTGCATAAGAAGACGCACAACCGCCCTAACCGGGTCGGCTCAGTGGATAGAGCGTCGGCCTGCGGACTGAAGGGTCCCAGGTTCAACTACTGTCAAGGGCATGTACCTTGGTTGCGGGCACATCCCCAGTAGGAGGTGTGCAGGAGGCAGCTGATCGATGTTCTAACTCTCTATCTCTCTCCCTTCCTCTCTGTGAAAAATCAATAAAATATATTTAAAAAAACAAAAAGGAAGATGCCCAACCTACTGAGCCATACCGGCCAGGGCCCCACATGATTGATCCATGTCTGAATTCCTAACCCCTGGGGGGCTGTTGGGAGCAGGGGCCCAATAAATGTGCACGCAGGTCCTCCTTCCCGGGAACATTGGCCCCATTGCTGCATCTGCCACCTCACCCTGCGTCCTTTCCGTACATTTGTGTGGACAGAGGTGATGCCACTGGCGCAGGGCCACACGGCAAAATGCCCAGCAGGCCCCCAATGGGAACCTGAATTTGTTCCACTCGGAAGCCCAAGTTCTGACACACAGCAGGTGCTCAATGAACGGTCATGCCTTTGTCCCTGGCTTGTCCAAGCAGGGACTGGCCTTTCCCAGCCAGAAAGCACACTGTGTATAAATGTGCGTGACCCGAGCCTCCAGGAGCGTCCCCCCCTCCCCCCTTCCCTGTCTGGAAGTCCTCTCTCGCCTTCCCTAACACCCCGCGGCCCCTCAGTCCACAGGAAACGTGTGGATGACACATGAGGAGATGGAGTCCCTCACGGCCACGACGAAGCCGGTGAGTGCCCCCTGCCGGCGGCTTTGGGGGTGGCACTAACTCTCTCTCGGGAGGGCGGGGCGGGGCGAGTCTGTAGCCGTCTGTCCGTCTGTTCGTTCCTCCCGCCCTCCTTCGCCTGCCCCTTAACCCGTCCCTTCTTTCCCCTCTTCCCACTAACGGGTCAGGAGACCAAGGAGATCAGCTGGGAGCAGGTAGGGGGCGCGGGGCGGGAAGGGGGCGCATGACCAGGTTGTGCACGCTGCATGGACGCCCCTTCTTCTCCGAGCCCCGCCCTTATCCTCGCTGGGGCATCCCCTCATCACCGCGGGGGGGCGCTGTGCGGAGCTCGGCTCTGGACTGTCTCACTGTGGGGGTCTGGGCAGAAGCTGGGTGGTTCCATGGTTAGCTGTTAGCTTGGTGCGCGGGCCATCCCATGATCGAGGGTGGTGGGAGCTCCGGGGGCTGTTCCATTGCTATGACTAGAGGGAGACGGGGCACCCGTTTTCCCCGCTGCCTGCGGGGAAAGTGTACCCGGCAAAGGGGAACGCATTTGGGGAGGGAGCAGCACGTCTGGCGGAGAAGCTGGGGAGGAGGAGCTCCAAGAAGGGGGAGGCATGAACTCACCTGCTGGAAAGAACTGTGCGGGCCCCGGGCCCTTGGCTTCCAGCCAGGGGGAGGCATGGATTGTGCTGAAGTCCTGGAAGGACTTTGGGCCGATCCAGAATATTGTCCCGGGCCGGGCCCAGCATTGAACTAGTATTTTCGGGACAGTGCCAGGGTGCTGGGTGACTCCATGGCTCTCTGCTGTGGGGAGCGCTGTGCTGGGAGAATCCATTATGTTGACTCGGGGGCGTAGTGAGGTTGGGCTGATCTGTTCTGAGTTGGGACCGTGTTAGATCACCGCTTCTCAGCCTATGATGTACGGCTCTCATCACCCGGGGATCTTGTGAGAACGAAGGTTCCGATTCAGTCAGTGGCCTGGGGCTGAGAGTCTGCAATCCCAGCAAATCCGCAGGCGATGGTGATGCCTTGGGTCCAAGGACCACACTTGAGTAGACTCAGCTCGATCCTGTCCTCCTGAGGGAGCAGGGGACACCGTTGGATCGGTCCACTGTCTGGCTCTGGGCTGGAAAAGCAGGTCCTTGGGTTGGTGGGGGGGTAGACCGTACCCTTGCATACATACATGGGAAGGGGTCCCAGGGCCTGACCCCTCCCCTACCTGCCCATGGCCCCAGATCCTGGCATATGGCGACATGAACCACGAGTGGGTGGGCAACGACTGGCTGCCCAGCCTGGGGCTGCCCCAGTACCGTAGCTACTTCATGGAGTCGCTGGTGGACGCCCGCATGTTGGACCACCTCAACAAAAAGGAGCTCCGCGGCCAGCTGAAGATGGTGGACAGCTTCCACAGGTGGGGCTGCCGCCCAGACAGGCCAGGGGCGGGGCGGCCACGCTCCTGCAGAGTCTGGGCCAGTGGGACTGGTGATGGGATTCTCTGTAAATCGACCCCGTGCCTCTTCCATCAGTAAGGTGGCCCACTAGGGAGAGTCCAGATTCTGAGGCAGCTGGGCTAGCTGACCCCACCCCCTTCCAGGTTTGCGAATAGGAACTGCCTGTTGAAAGTACCCCAGCTCTGAGGTCGGCAATCACCAGAACCCACCCAGCAGAACAGTGGTTCTCAACCTTCTGGCCCTTTAAATACAGTTCCTCATGTGGTGACCCAACCATAACATTATTTCCGTTGCTACTTCATCACTGTCATGTTGCTACTGTGATGAATCGTCATGTAAATATCTGACATGCAGGATGGTCTTAGGCGCCCCCTGTGAAAGGGTCGTTCGGCCGCCGAAGGGGTCGCGACCCACAGGTTGAGAACCGCTGCAATAGAACAACACTGGCCTCTCCCAGAAGACCAAGCTGTGGGGAGGGCCCCGCGGGAGCAGCGGTCACTGGGGGGTGAAGGCTCCCCTGTGACCCCGCTTCCCCTGCTGCTCAGGGTGAGTCTGCACTACGGGATCATGTGCCTGAAACGGCTCAACTATGACCGGAAAGACCTGGAGCGGAGGCGAGAAGAGAGTCAGACCCAAATCCGAGGTGAGTAGAAGGGGGTAAGAGTCCCTCTGGGAGCTTAAGCCACAGGGTGGAGCCGGTATAGGAGGCATGGCCAGGAAAGAGGGTGACGGGATGGGCTAAATGGGACGGGCCTGCAGCTGAGGGTTCCTTTGGTCCCCAGATGTGATGGTGTGGTCCAATGAGCGGGTCATGGGTTGGGTGTCCGGACTGGGACTGAAGGAATTTGCCACGAACCTCACGGAGAGCGGGGTGCACGGGGCGCTGCTGGCCCTGGACGAGACCTTTGACTACTCCGACCTGGCCTTGCTCCTGCAGATCCCCACGCAGAACGCACAGGTGGGTGAGCGGCCGCTGGGCCGGATCGCGCCGGGCCTCCCCCCACCCCCCCACCGCAGTCTGCAAGCTGCACCCCCTTTCCCGCCTCTCCTCCCCAGGCCCGGCAGCTCCTGGAAAAGGAATTCAGTAACCTCATCTCCTTGGGCACAGACAGGCGGCTGGACGAGGTGGGCGCCCAGCTCCGGAGGCTGGCTCCTTGCACCTGCAGGGTGGGAGCCGAAGGGGTGGGGCTTGGCTGCCCAGAGACGGGGTTGGAGGCGGGGCCAGGATAGGGGCGGGGGGGGGAGAAGCGGGGAATACGGAAGGGGGGGAGTCCAAGGAAGGGGCGGGGGCGGAACCGGGCCGGGGCCCCACACCGGATGCCCGGCTCCTGTACCTAGGACAGCGCCAAGTCCTTCAGCCGCTCCCCGTCCTGGCGGAAGATGTTCCGAGAGAAGGACCTCCGAGGCGTCAGCCCCGACTCCGCTGAGATGTTGCCTCCCAACTTCCGTTCGGCCGCAGCGGGGGCCCTGGGCTCGCCGGGGCTCCCTCTTCGCAAGCTGCAGTCGGAAGGTGGGCGGCTTCCCTTCTTCGGGGTTGGGAGCAAAGGACCCACTCTCCATCCCAGAGGCCTCCTCCTGCAGGCTCTGAAATGGCCTGGCCCGTTCTCCCCTGCTCATGGCACCTGGGCCGCTCCAATGTGCCAACTCTCCTCCGGGCGCGGAAGGGATTGCTCTCGCACCCTCTTTTCAGGGTGGGAAATGCGCTCGCCCTGTGTCATCTGGGGCACCTTGGACGAACCTCGGGGAAAGGGAGGGAAGCCGGCGAGGATTCGGGCTGGCTGTCATTCCCGAAGGGGAATTCCCGGGAAGGAAGCTTGGGGTTGAGGATCGGAGAAACCCTGGGGAGGACAGGGCGTGCGCGCGTGTGGGTGTGGGTGCGCGCGTGTGGGTGTGGGTGCGGGTGCTCGCGTGTGGGTGCGCG